CAATTAAAATTTGTAAGCTGCATATGTGGTGCCAAATGCTTAGTGCACTGGACTGTGGGTTAAAATCTCCCTTATAATAAGCAGCATCTAATTCAGGAAGGGAGGCTGCAGATATACAAAGACTCCCCACTCTTCACATAGCTTCCATGCTTAATATTAATGGTCAGAAGAGATGAGGTGGGAAAAGACAAGATTCTGTACAAAAGTTGCAAGGTGTCATATGTTACAAAATATTTATACCTTGTCATTGGTATGAGTAGTCCTAGCAAAAACAGTCATAACGTCAGCCCATCCTCCATTAGAGATCCAAATCTAGAATTTAAGAAGGACAGGCAAAATAAAAATTAGAATATTATGACGTATAAGATACATATGAATCATACACCATATTCATAAATGGCCAACGCCCAGAACAATCAAAGTACGTGAAAACTAGGTCTGAAAGGCCCAATATCATGTTTACTTCAAGAGCATCTAAACATGGAAAGCTACTTAGATGTGCTGTCAGAAAAACTCTGCAAAGGCAAAGGAAACATCAGGTGGTTGGTTGAAAGTGTTTTCAGAAACCCCCCAAAATGCCAGTATATTGCTGCATTTTGCCACTGCATTGCACAAGAAAAAGAACATGTAAGCTTTTTTTATTGTTTAAATTCAACAGTATCTCAGGCCATATAAGACTTTTATTATTAACTCTTTACACACCAACACCAGTATGCATATTCTCTATACATTTCCTTAAGTGCTGGATGGGAGAATTTGTTTAATAATCAACAACTTTTGTAGTCGATGATCATTTCTTTTATTCTGGTGACCTTAGTATCTGATTCAGGGGTGATATTACTAGGGAGAAATTACATGCTAGTTGCTATATGTCCAGTTTCACAGTTAAGTCAAATTCAAAAAAGCATATTTGGCACCTCTAAATGATCTTATAAAAATCACAAACCTTTGAACCATTGAGAAGAAAGTGTTTGCCATCTTCACTTAAAGTTGCTTTGGTCTGGATTGATGCTGCATCACTTCCACTACATGGGAAAAATAATATATAAATTATTACAAAAGAACAGGATTGTCCACTTTCTTTAAAGTTACCTTTGAAAATCTAATCATGAGTCTAACACACATTTTACAGCTTTATTTAGGTATTTACTAGTGCACCATTCCTGCACCAAAGTGCCACTTAAATTACTTTCTGCCTAGGGAGTAAAGATGCAGACCCCACTTAAAAATAAAGGTTAAAAAAAACCTAAGCAATGAGTGCTTTGTTCATGTACCTTGAGGGTTCTGTGAGACAAAATGCAGCCATGTGTTCACCAGAAGCTAGTCTTGGTAAATATTTCTGCTTTTGCTCCTCAGTCCCAAGAAGAAGAATTCCCTGTCATATCAATATTAGAAACAAAATCAATACATTTTTAGATGATACCAGCTAGTCCATATTTTCCCTGAGTTGAGGTTTGTGCATTATTCTTGATCACAAGTTTGTTTGCTGATGTATTGATCTTGTAAGGAGAAATCAGTCTTTGGTCTTTGCTCTGCTAGTCCATTTCCTCAGCTTCCTTTAACTGAGCTTGCTCATATCCATTAAGTTAATATACTCCTTGAGAGAAAGTCAAGCTTCCTACTTGTTAGCACAACAGGTTTTTCTCCTCACTCACGGCCTGGATACACATCTCAAAGTGTTACAGTTGCAAGAATTTAGTCAAATATTACCCTGAGTTGAGATTTTTCATAATTTTCATCACATGTCTGTTTGATAGTGTATTGATCCTGTACAGAGAAATTATACTTTGGTCTTTCCTATAAGAATGAAAGGGTGGACAAATAAAGCAACTGACCTTCAGACCAATTGACTGATGTGCCATCAATGTCACAGCAATACTTGCATCAGAGAAAGCTTCACAAACACGGGCATAGTTTGTGTTAAGAAGACCAAGGCCACCTGAGAGGATTTGGAAATACTTTTAGAGAAAATATTTTTAACTATGTGTGAGAGTAACACAGCAACATAAATTCTCAAACAGAGGAATACCAGCTGAAATTCAGCTGGTATTCACCTACATCATTCAACCCTTTAAATCCCAGAAGTGATTAACTTGCAACTTCTTCCCATAATATCCATACATTATCCAGTCACCAGGTAATGATTATTCTCAGACTTATCAGGAAGATCTAACACCAAATTCCCATAACTTATTTACAAGGAATTGTGTGCCAGTTAGAGGGGGGAATTGACATTCAGATCTTGGGAGTGAAAGGGTTAACTAAATTGATAATAAAAAAATGTCTTACCATACTCTTCAGGGATAAGAAGACCAAACAAACCAAGTTCTTTCAGTCCTCCCATAACTTCTTCAGGAATTTTAGCTGTTTTGTCAATATGAGCAGAATCAACTGTAAATAAATAAAAAATAAGCAGTGATTTATCACGTCAACAAAATAATCCCCATACTCCATTGATGTGTAATTCAGTTTAAGGAAGACCCAAAGCATCTGAATACTTGACCACCTTTACTCAAAGTTGATTCAAGCCATTCTCTTATTTTTTGCTACAATTACCTTTCTCTACAAAATACTTTTCAACAGGCTCAACAAGCATGTTGAGTGTTTCTCGCTGTTCTTCATTCAATGGATCTGGATATGGGAAAACTTTCTCCTATAAAGAGAACAAAAAAATGTAATCATGAGCTCAAATGCCTTAACCCCATAACTCCCATGAGTGACCAAGACAGAATTTCTCCTTTCAATATCAATACAATATCAGGCAGACAAGTGATGAGAATAAAGAAAAATATCAATAAGGGAATTATAAGTTGATCAAATACTAAATTCTCAAAACTAACATCACAAGAACTGTATGGCAGACAGTAAGGAGAATTACTAATAAGATCTTAGGAGTTAAAGGGTTAAGACTTGTTTCATTCCATCACTTTTTCTTCTTACATCTATTCTTTAACCCTTCAACTCCCAGATCAAATTTGTAATTCTCCTTACTGTCAACCATACAATTCTTATAATGCTGGTTCAGAGAATTTACAATTGGTATTGGATCAAGTAATTATATATCCCAAACTGATATTTTTATTTAGTCTCATCACTTATCTGGTTGATATTGTATTGATACTGTGAGGAGAAATTCTCTCTTGGTCACTCATGGGAGTTAAAGGGTTAATTGATATATTTCTCCTTTCATTCACTCATTCATCCATGCGTTTCCTCCTCTTCATTTCCTCCAGCCCATTCCACCCCCGAACACACCTACCACCCATCCCTCCCTCTTACAAAACAATGCAGTCGTAAAAGGTCTTCCACATGTGTTTTCTTCGACATAAAAAAAAAGAGAAAAAAGCAAATAAAAATTTGTTACCTCAGGCATATAAAAACAATTCAATTCAAAGACTTTGAAACAACCGTGAAAGAACTTTCTCGTGACGTCAAATCCTTGCGTGAGTATATGTCTGACTCGAATCAACGAACATCAACAAGTAGAGTTCTGTTTTAATTTTTTGAATCATCGTTTGGAACCTGTTTTTTTTCCCTAGGCTGATACAGAATCTCTCTCAAATTCATGAAAATCTATGGACTATCTCGTGGGAATCAGTTGATATTTGTGAAAAGTAAGGGCCGGCCGATTACATAATTTTAGGATTTTTCTCAATCTAACCAGTTTCTTCCGAGACAAAATGTAGGTCTCTTCTTGGATCTATAGCGTGCTTTTACAATCTACAACAGCAAAACAACACACGAGGAATTAAACGATCTTCATGAAACCACATACTATATATTTTACCTTATTACAACGTCCCAGAAACAGATCTTTGGCAAAAGTTGAAGTTGGTTTCGACGTGTGAAGAAAACGTCGGAGTGATGACACGTTTACAGGTTTAAAGGCACTCAAAACATGCCTCCCCGCTCTTAACGACATCATGCTTGCCAGAGTTTCCTTTCCTATCGTGACTTTGTATCAAAAATATTCAAGTTGTCATTTCAGCGCGTTAAAATACCCTTCTTTGGTCACCTTGAACGGCCTTCGATAAAACCTTTGTACCCGCCCCAGTCTTTCCCTTCTCCGCCTGGCTGCGCACTAAAGTTCCGGGTTGGTTCGTCGGAATCGCTTTCCCTTCTTCGGACAAAAGTGTAGTTGAGAGTCAATATTTCGATAGGCAAACTTGAGGATTTTGGAGAAAATTCAAGGTGGATCATCTCACTTGTTCCCAGCCTTAAAATGACAAAGTATTTGTTAAGTCATAGTCAAGAGTACTTCGTAAAAATAATAATTAGCTAATTAATTAATTAATTGATTGAGGTGTGGATGGATATTTCTATCGTTTTTCCTTAAAAGCTGAACACCTAAAGAACCAAACTAGCTACAGTATTCGCTCTTCTATGGAGGAAATCGTCCAAAAGTTGCAACTGAGCAAAAAGCAACTTATGTGAAGTAACTTAAACCTCAAAATATTTAGCAGTAAGAGGTTAGTTATTTCTCAGGGCTTCAAGAAAGGAGGCATTGTAGCTTGCAGAGCTGGCGTAATTTTGATGGGCAAGTCCTCAGTATTTTCTTAGTGAAAATTATGGCTGCCACCATGTTTACAGCAGCAGAAAGCTGAGGAGAGAAAGAAATCTGTACAGGAGTGGGTGACAGTGAACAGAACGGAGAGGGAAGGGGGTTGGGCTGCATGGAGAGGAAGACAGGGTACTTAGTTCAGACTTATGGAGGGCTAATGTTCAATCCATCCCTTTGCTTCTGATTTGTAGACCAGATTTAAAGAATGTTTACAATATCTATTTCAAAGACTGAGAACCCATGATATTCAAAATGAAAAATATCAACAGCTTTCAAATATATAAATATTTGTAAGTAAATTATGCACTAAACTTTTATCTGACCCTGATGGACAACAATATACCACTAATGCTTTAGAGTATTTGTCACAGGGAGGAAGTTGAAGCAGATTATAAAAATCTTGATGTCTAAACAAAGAGGGTTACCAATGAGCGGGCATGTTAGAGATGGGACTTCACCCTTTGCAATCAGTTTCTCCCTAGAATATCACCCCTAAGTCAAACATTGATGTCATGAGAATAAAGGAAATGATCACAATGTTAAGATTGACGCTCTTGATTTTTAACTAAATTCTTCTTGTCAGCACCTTGGGAAATGTATAGAGAACAGTAGGGACAAAATGGATACTGATGTCAGGGTGTAAAGGGTAAAAGGGTTATTTGCAGCATCAGCCATGAGAAAAAAGGGAGAAATGTGAAACAGTAGAGGGTGTTAAGAGATGGGAAACATAAGTATCAAAGAAAATACACACACAAAACAAGTATTGTATGATGACTATCAATTTTATTGTAACTTCCCAGTGCCACTTTTCATTGTTTCAACAGGATTTTCATCGTTTTCAACTGGCTTTCAATAGAATGTGTTGGGTCGCTTAGCCACAAACTTGGACTTGTAGTGAGACTTGATGATACGATGAGGCAGAGGAAACTTGATCTTGGAGTTCTGAAAAAAAAAGGAGAAGAAAGTAAAAATAATAATATATGAATTTTAAAAAAATAGCAATACTTGAGGCAACATAAAAGACAAATAGAGGAGAAACCAGATTTCAAACAAACACATTCTAACAATTTTCAGACTTTCCACAACCTCTGCATAGACTTTCTTGATGTTTTCATGACTGATTTGCTATGCAATCAAGCAGTTGCTTTCATAATGATGTCAACACAAGCATTCCATCAAAGTGTTTCTTGCTTTGATGCTTTTAAAATAATCATTTTTATGATCTTTTATAATTTCCATTCACACGGATATGACTTCCTGCATTTTCCATGTCCCATACAAAATCTGCTTGGTCTGAGATCTTGTAAAGGCACAAAACATGAGCAAAAAAGTTCCATGGTAAAATTAGTTGCTACAATTTCTCCTCACCAGAAATTTCTTCTGACACGATATCAATAACTTCAGTGTTCTCTGGATATTTTCTTGTAGAAAGCCATAAGAAAAACCCAACCCGCAAAAGTTAAAATTTATTTCAGCTCAAGACTAGTATGTGCTTCACAAACAAAGCAGAAACACCAGCTGCCAGTACTCCTGAAGAACACTACTAGATTTTAGTGACATCTAATCAGACACTTACATGCAACTGCTTCATATGTGGTCTTCGGCACTTGCTGGCTGGGATTACATCAACTTTCATGATCTGAATGCTTGATCCGCGTGCACGATGACGGGCAGCCATGTCTCGATCTGCATTTAAATAGGTTCAGTATTATTTTACTATAGTAAGTAAAGGTTATTATTATGGGTGTCCTAAATTTGTTAGTGATAATTCAGTAGACAATTGACCTCTTCAAACCAAATCAAAGTGTTCATGGTTTAATGAGTTTCACAATATTTTGCTGGAGCATTACTGATAATTAATTAATTAATTAATTAATCAGCTTTATGTTAAAAGTTAACTTACATGAAAGATGATGTTACTCACTCAAGGACACAGGTACATGTATACTTGGAGAAAAAGAACTCTGAGTGCTCCAAATAAGAGTTGAACCTACAACCTTTCCATTGGTACTTTGACATTCATACTTTGTCAGTCACTGAACAACATCATCATTCACTTGAAAATCCCCAAGCTTAAAATTCATCATCTACATTTACATCATCAAGGTTCACTTAGTGTGTAATTTATCAAGAAAGCTTCATAGAGCTGGGAATTTTCACTACAGAAAAGTAATGATAGAGAAAGGTCATTACTTGTTAGAGATTCAAGAATTGTCCAATGGATACTTAAAATCCTCCAGCTAAATTTCAGTAGCCTCAGCCACTTTTTATTTCCCTGCAACATTTGATTTTACAACAACAAATTTCACACTCACAGCAAGAAGTAACTGCACTAGCCACTGTCAAGTCACGGTACTCCCTGTACATGTTGTGAGTTCCACTACGGGAGTCATAACGCAGCCAAACACCAAAATTCTTGATCCTCAGGGGTTTTTTCTCAAAAATCTGTTCAAATAAAGAAACAAAGTTATGATTCATCAACTGAAACTTAACCCTATTAACACCCTTACTAGTCTGTGGGCTTTCCATACATCTAAGCAGCTCGGAAAGACACAAAACCCTAGAATAAATTCATCTTTCTAACTGGCAGTCTTAGTCCCCATGGTATCAACAAAGGCATTTCATTCAACTACCGTATTTAC